AACCAAGAGGTTGTGAGTTCAAATCCCAGGTGAGCACATGTTGAATAATAACTACTGTATAAATGAACATGCACAATGAAATCAAATATGTAAGTTGAAAACTTTGTATGTTAAAAGCACTGTTTGTGTGTGAGGGTGTCCCTTGCCAACAGACAAAGAGCTGTGAATGGATCAGTGGTTCACCAATCATAGGCTTGACAACAGTAACAAGGGGTGGTGTATAAAGAAGCCAAACATTTTGGGGGGAGAATGTTTCTTTGGGACCATCAGGCAACGTCCTAAAAACGTCTTTAGGGACATCCCAGGAACAAGCTGGGAACTACACAAAATCCTCCAGGGGACCATGACAGAACGTCCTATGTTTTAAACGTCATTGGACAGAGGAATGTTCCTGAAACGTTCCCATGAAACGTGTCTAGAACCTCATATTTTATATTCTGATAACATGGCAACCATGTTCTGTGTATGTTTGGTGTGACGTTGATAGAATATTCTCCTAACCCTCAGAAAAATGGACACTGGAACAGTCTTGCAATGTTCCAATGAAACATGTCTAGAACATTAATATTGAATATTCTGAGAACATGGTAACCACGTTCTGGGTAAGTTCTGTTTGACATTAAGGGAACGATCTCTTGGAAACAGTCCTTGCACATCACTGGAACATTCCTATGAAAACGTTAGTTAATGACCTAATGAGACTCTTAAGGGAACGTTCTCTAAAGTTGTGGGAATGTTTGTTGTTAGCTGGGAAGAGAGGAGGGGATAAAAGATGAGGGAAATGAATTCACTGGTCTGAGAAATAGAAGACACTTTCAGTTTCCTCTGAGCACTATAAATACAACCTCAGTCAGTCATCAAATTATAGCCATCTGCCCAGGACACTGCCCATGAACAATACAGCAGTGTTAGCCTGGGTGTGGCGGCTAAGGGGGATACGAGCTGTCTTCAGATCAGTTCTAGTGCATTCACAGAGGAGCTGTGATGACTCTCACATACTCAGACAGACATGTGAGACCAAACCTCTCAGCTGTTTTACAACCTGGGTCTTCTGTCTCCTCTGGTAGAATGTTAGCCATAACTCAAACTTAATGATGCTTTACCATGGATCAACAAGGCTAGATTTCACCTAGGCTATCCGCTCGCTGAAGGCCATTTCTTTTCAGAGTTAGCACCACATGTTTTACGAATGCTATCCAACTGGGCCTGGACTTCACCTGCACTTTGACAAAGGAAGTTCTTGCATTTTTGTGAAATCAACATCAGTCTTATTTTCTAGATATTGTCTTCTTTGGCCACAGCATGACTATCTCTAGATTGTGGTCTAGGTTTGTGTATCATACAGAGATGGAACACCTCTGCCCATGCTGTGAGTGGGCTGATTGTAGTGAGGGCTGTCAGCCAATAAAGGTTGAGAAATGCCTCGAAACAAAGCATCTTACATTAAAACCCCATGCAAACCCTTTAAAAATTGCCCATTTCTTTACACATGTATTCTATTCACAGCGCTCTAGGGGAGGTAATTCATTCCAGGTACTCTGCTGAGACTAGGGCCATTGTATCTCATTACAAAATGGTGCTTCTTCCCCACAGGCTGGAGCAGTGAGCTTGGCACAGACCAGAAACTCCCCAAGCAGAATTGTTTGGCATCACCCTCTTCTTCAGTATTTTATCCCCTTTTCTCTGTGAACAATCCAGCTAAAGCTCCAGCTTAAGGACCATAAAGCTCATCGTGATTTGCTTTGTTAAACTGTTCTCTAAAAGTCAATTGAATAATTTTTATTTCTGGTTCTAAGCCGCAGGCTCCTGTTCTATTAGCAGAAGTCTTGTATTTGGAAGACCTTATTTGGACCATGGCCCCAGAGTTCTCTAAACTGTAGCATATAAAGCTTGGACACAATCAGAAACTTATAGACATAGCTTCCAGACTATCTTTAGTATTTGCATATAGTCAAAATATTTATTTACATTTAGGCTCCAGTCTCTTTCGGAGGCACAGGTTCAAATCCCACCGCTGCCACCAATAACAGATTTCTGCCTTAACTATAATGTTCTTATGATCATTTTAGAGGGAAAGTCAACTCTCATTTGTGAATGTTTTTTGCGGCTTGTTTATTTCACTTTGCCATGGTTTGTAAATATAGTATGTATAATATAGTAATCATCTTCTGTGTATGTTTGTACATGTGATAACAGTTAGAATAATTGTATCATTCAACATTGGGAGTTGCCTACATTGTGTATCTTTGGCAGGAGAGCAGCACTGTGCTGTGTGCCACTAAAGGTCATTGTGTACATTTGGCTCTATACTGGGACAGTTAATCACAACTGTCTTTGTTCATGAAAGAGCAATCTTTGCACCTTCAAATGCACACAGTGAGATCACAAAGGCCCTGGGCGAGACGATAAAAGTCTTCCCTGACATCAAACCGACTGTCTTATTTTAGTTCTGTATACATGTGTTTGGGGGCTCTCTAATGCAGTGTTTTGGTTTCCAATTTTTGTTGCATATCTGGTTGGAAAGGGATCATTTTCCAGGATGAGAAAGCACAGGACAAACATACCCTGGTCGCGTTTGGCAGTAGGCCTAAGGCCGTTAATATTGATAAAACACAGACACTGACTACCACTCAACCATCTAAACACACACACACATGGAAACACACACTGAACAAGTCTTGAAAACATATTTTTACCTTTTATAGTTACAATAATGAGTCAGAATAACTGCCCACATGCACTTTATACAGCACAAAGTATTGCAATTAGATCTGTCTCTTGTGGTGGCATTGCATCTTCTACTCTTGGCAAGAGTGCTCAGCTGCTGGCTTGCTGGGTGCTCTGTTAGTTTTTGAGGGGACATTCGGTGCCACTGTGACCTCTTTGGAATGCTCTGGGTGAGATGTAGCGATGTCTGTCTTTTCCTCCCGGTCCCCAAAGCATCTGCATTTTCTGTCGTTCGGAACAATGTCAGAGTTCCACTTCAATGTCTTCCAGAAAGGCACTCTGGCTTGACCTATAATCCCCAGAAGGCGAGTGTGCGGCTTGTGGAAAGCCCCCTTCTATGTCTCTTGGCTCGGGCTTTGGAAAACCCTGGCTTGGAAACAGGGCCTTGGAGGTCAAGCTATTGTTATTTAGGAGCACAATTTATTGGGACATTTTTGGCTTCCTGAGTGGTTTACTGTTGGAGAGGGGCTCCGGAGAACGTGGTCCAAGGCAGATGGCTGAATTTGCATATCGCTGGAAAGGTGACAGCCAAAAAGCCTGGGAAACCCTACAGCCCAGAGTTGGCTCCCAGAAACCCTCTCTAATGATCATGACTGAGGTCTCAGTGAGAGAATCCTTTTGAAGCAATGAGAACACCTCTTCAGAGAGCAACAGCTGTGCCAGGCCTGATAATGTTTTAGTTCGTCCAAAGAGCTTTTTCGTGTTGGTCAGTACAGCAGAGATGCATTAGAACAGAGTTGCAGCTGGACCATGATACAAAGAAAGAAAGTAAAAAATGATGACAGGTTAGAGCTGGGACGATAAACCGAAAATTACCGACACCGCCTTCCTCTTACCAAATCCTTTTGCATAGGCCTACGTTGGTGATTTTGCTACACATTTTTCCTGTAGATTGTTCTAAAACCATTATTTGGTCAACAGTAATAGCCTATACATTATGTTGATTCCTGCTATGAAGGTATCTGCCTGTCCCTTTTTCCCTGTCGGCTGCTGTGTGAGCGGGCCACTCTCACTCCCTCTCCCCACTGTGCGCACAGAGGAGAGAGAGAGAGATGCATTCTGAGAAGCACAAGCATTCGACCATTGCTCAAAATGCAATTTGCGGGAGAAATACAGTTTTCAAAGCAACTACTGTTCCAGTTACAGAGAGGAGAATCACAGTTTTTTATGAGTATATAATGTATTTTTCACCTCTTAACAATATTGAGTTCATGACACCATTTTACAACCGGAGTAAGCTGTAGTATGGTTTTGATTCGCCCCCGGAGTGAGCAGAGTGCGCCATTTGCAGTGAATGGGCCTACATCAAGTAGCCTAGTCCTAGTGCTGGAAAATATTTCTAGGACATTAGCCTACATTTACTGATAGATTAATCAATTAGCCTACATGGCTATATAGCAACAATATCATATTGTAATGACCGCGATAGATCATAAATGAGAGAATGTCCACTACAGTTCTCGAGTTCTCGAATTGACGGTTTACTGACTCCAAACTCACAGGTAGCCTACGCCAAATAAATCAGATAAAACAATCACAGCTACTCAACTCCCTGTCGGGACAAGAAAAAGAGCGAGAACAATGGCAGCAAGGCAATATAACAGATATTACATTTGGTTTAGTTGTCTTCTAACCTGAATTCAACGTGAAATTACCAAAAAAGTTCACCATGTCATTGGATTTAGGTTAAAAGTTGGGTGAAATTCCCTTACGTCGATTACTTATTTCAAATCAAATCAGTTTTCCACGTCGAATCAATGTAATCACATAGATTTTTTGTTGTTGAAATGACGTGGAAACAATGTTGATTCAACCAGTTTTTGCCCAGTGGGAGGTTACCATCTCAGTTGTCTTACTTGGCACTGGACAAAAATGTCTAGAGCCCTGCCGCTAATGTAAATGAACCGTCCATAAAAAAATATAAATGTGTTTTTTGTTATCCAGCCAAATAGTTACATTTATCTCCATATGTCTTCTTGTCCATATCATCCAGCTGTAGCACCTCCCCACAAAATAATTGATCACTGATTTATCGTTATCGCAAAAAAAAAAATTGGTCAATTTATCACAATATGGATTTTTGTCCATATCGCCCAGCTCTATGAAAGGGTACCAAGCTATTTTTCTGTCTATATCCCTATGCCATTTGGTATCGAATCACCCCAACACCACACCTTTGTCAATAAGATTGGCCACTATATGAAATAATAAGTGACTGTATACTCAACAAAAATATATCTAACCATATTTATTGACTGTTCAAAGAATACTGTATGTCAGAATTGTATTTATATTTTTTAATGCTCCTCATTTTTGTCTCTACAGCATCCTACTTTGGGGACAGTTTCTGCAAGATAACGTCGATCCAAGATGTCTCCTCCTTTCACCTGTCGCTGCAGTTCAAGACCAGCCGACGAAGTGGACTCCTCCTCCTGGCTGCAGGGATGCAGGACTACCTATTTCTGGAACTCCAAAACGGGAAATTACAGGTTAGTATCAACACCTGTCTGTCGGAAAAGATTCTAATTGCTATGTACTATCAGACCGGCTTAACTCAAGGCAACCTAGCAAGCTGTCACAAAGTGTATTTTACACAAGCTTTATGATGTTAGACCACCCAGAAATGTGCAAGGCATGGTTATTGGGGTGGATGACAGATTGTGAATCCTAGATGGCATACATGTTTTGTCAGGGTTGGAATTGGAAAAAGTCACTCTGGGGACTGACCATGTCAAATCCTAGAAATATTCATTAAACACAGCTTTACAAAAATGCTTTCACTTTGGGAACTCTGTTCCCACACATTCCCCTGCCCCCCAATTCCACCACTGGTTCTATCCTGTCTCCACTAAAAGTATTAGAAAAAGGACACCTGAAAGAACTGTCTTAAAACGTCCTATAAATGTCCTATATTGTAATTGGAAGAGTGACAACAGCATCTGTACTGTCACTTTCCTCTTTCCAAACCAAAAACTGACATTGACTTCTACCTAATACATTTAAAGATTATAACAGAAGTGAAAGCAGGCTGGTGGTGTGTGCTCATTAAAGAAGCATGTCTGTGACAGTTTCAATTAGATGGTACTCTGAAATCATTCTACATTGCTTTACTGGCTGTCACTTTAAAATGGGATTCCTGACATTTTAATTCCATAATGAATTGCTTGGCAGAGTCTGTGAGGAACTGAATTAGCATCAGATGTGCTGTCATAAACATTCCCTAAATTGTGTAGAATAAACAAAAAAGGTTTACTGTTTTTAGAGGTCTGGTGCATTTGCTATTAATAACATTTGAAGATGATGGAAGCACAAGAAAGCTCTGCTCACAAAATTCTTAAAATGTTTGTAAGGACGAGATAGGTGAACGAGTCTAGGCTAGATTGATGCCTCTTTGATATCACCTGTCAAATCCTTTTAGATAATCATTCATGGAAAGAAAGGCTATGAGGAAGGAATCCTTTCAAGAATATAATGACAGTCAAAAGAATATACAATTATTGCACTTCATAAAATAGCAATGATACTTCTCTTCTCTCTTTTTTCATCTAGGTGCGAATGGACCTTGGGGCCGGTGAGATGGTGCTGTCATCATCTCTGGGGCTGCAACTGAACAACATCGTGGAGCACAAGGTGTCCATCACGATGCAGGAGGCCAAACTGACCATGCTGATCGATGACCTCTTCTCCACTTTCATCTCTGTCCCTCAAACCCAGGAGGACCTCAACATTGACATGGGGGTTTACCTGGGGGGCACCGGAGACTTAGACGCCCCATATCTCAGCAATACCATACCTCCATTCCGCGGCTGCATGACCAATGTCAAGTTGGAGTCCCATCAGTTTGATATTCTCGACTCCGAGCCCATCGACTGCCATGACACAAAGGAGTCCTGTAGCAGTGAGTTTGAGGCTGGTGATGGAGAGGCGACCAGCTTCATCAGCCCAGACTCATTTGTGTCCTTCCCTACTTGGAGCGGGGCTAGTGGTAGTGAAAGGACCTTGGAGTTTCTCATGAAGACCACCATCGAGGATGCCCTACTCACCTTCCACCCTGGACGAGAGTCAGACTTTATCGCTGTTGGCGTTGTGGGCGGTTACCTAAAAGGTGTGGTGGACCTTGGGAGTGGGATGGTGGTACTGGACAACCCCAGAGTACAGCTAGATGATGATCAGTGGCATAGGATCAGAGTCACTGTAGATGCGACTGTGTTTGAGATTAACGTGGACAGCCAGCCTGCCTCTCTCCCTCTAAGGGGCTCAGAGCGATTGGATCTAGTTGGCAATCTGTATATGGGGGGGATCCAGGGCAAGATGAAGGATGTGTTTCGTGATAGTAGCTTGTCTCATATGGAGGAGGAATTAACATCTGAGTCTTTTATCGGATGCATGGGAGAAATCAAAGTGAACCAGAAGGACAGAAGCCTGCAGGACGCTTTGGTCACCAAAGACGTCCATGTGAAGTGCGAGGGAGAGGACTATGACTACTCAAGTTACTATGATTTTGAGGCAACCACAACTACGGCTCCTGTTCGGATCCGATATGTTGACGCTGACCCTAATGAAAGACATTGCTACCCAACTGACGACACACCAGAGGCCTTCCGGAACATTACAAAGCTTCTTGAAGTCAAACCTTTGCTTGTGCCCGAAGGTGGGGAAGCTTTTCTCGATATTTACAACCTTAGCCCTACATTTGACCTAAACACTGTGGGAATCCGCCAATCCCAGATCATCTTCACTCTACAAAGTGATCCTTGGTACGGACTCCTAGATATGAACATCAAAACCAGACGTACCAAAAAGTTTACACTCCTGGATGTGGTCAACAAGAAGATCAAGTATCTCCATGACGGCAATGAAAAGTATGGCGATCAGATCCAGTTGGAGGTGGTTACCCATAGTAACAGTTACCTTCCAGAATGTCTAAAAAATCCCCGCCAGTACCTCCTCCCAGTGGAGATCATACCTGTCAATGACACACCACAACTAAGCGGAGGAGACATTTCCATCACAGAAAGCGGTCGCACTCGCTTGAATCCCAACCTTATCAAGATTGTGGATTCGGACACTCGCTGTGACGAATTGATTGTCACTGTGACCTCAGAACCTCCCAGAGGGGTTGGCTACTTAGAAAATGACCAGCAACCAGGGAGAAGTATCAAAGAGTTCACATGCAGGCAGTTGAAAGACGGCAATATATATTTTGTCCACAGAACTGGGAGTGGTGGGATAACTCTACAGGTATCTGACGGACAATCCATAAGTCATTCGACCACTTTTAAACTGTCCATTACACAGCCCCAAATGAGCCTTGTGACCAATACTGGCCTTATGTTGTCTCAGGGAAGCAACTCTTCCATTGGGATCCAGAACCTGGCTGTCATTGCCACCCCTCGTAATGGAGATATTGTGTATAACGTCACACAGGCTCTGAGATATGGCGAACTGCATGTTCTCACTAGCAATGGTTTGCCCAAACAGGTGACATCTTTTCATCAGTCAGATTTGGAGCAAGAACGCTTGAGATATGTTAGCACAGACTCAAGTGACCTGGAGGACGTTGTGTCAGATCATTTTCAATTTGATGTCCATCTTGGACAGTTTTCCCTGTGGAACAACACTTTTTTGATCAAGATCACACCCTCCCAGATTAAAATGGCCCAAGTAGTTCCCCTTGAGATTGAGAGTGAGGTAGAGCAAAAGGCAATAAAACACACTGAACTTCAGGCAGAAGTGAAGGGAAAGAGTGTAGCCCCAGAAACTATAAGATACATCCTTCTGAAGGCCCCCACACTGGGTACTCTTCAAATGATCGGCAGGAAGCTAGTTGAGGGAGACAGTTTCACCCAACAGGACCTCTGGAATGCCCAGGTCAGCTATAGAGTCCGGGTGCAAAGGGCTGTGGCTAGCGAGGACCAGTTCCAGTTCAGAGTCTTTGCAGAGAATCAGTACTCCCCTATGTACACCTACCCAATCAAGATCCAGGCTGATTCAGACGCCCCTGTTTTGACCAATGAGAGACTCATTGTCTTGGAGGGCGGGGAGAATATTCTGAAAAAAGACTATCTATGGGTTCAGACATCCGTCTCGACAAACTTTGTTTACAGGGTGACGCAAGACCCAAAGTATGGCCGTCTCATCAGGGAGTCCCCACCTGGACAGCCCAGGTTCGACGGGGCCATTAGAATGTTCAGCAATGAGGACCTGAATCTAGATAGGCTGATCTACCAACATGATGGCTCAGAGTCTAGCGATGATGAGTTCTCTTTCCTGGTATTTGAGCAAGCAGCAGGAAGTGAAAACATCCGAATCGATGGTCAAGAATCTATGAGTGGCATGTTTAGAATATCTATTCAGTCCAAGAACGACCACGTGCCTCTGAGAGTGGTTGATAAAACCTTCAACGTGGTCCGAAACGGACAACGTTTGCTGACCACAGAAGACATCCTCTTCAGAGACGATGACTCAGGGTTCAATGATACCCAGTTGGTCTTTGTTCGCACAGGCATTCTCTCAGGAAACATTGTCTCCACCTCAGACCCCTCGCAGCCCCTCTTTCGTTTCACTCAAGCAGACGTGAGAGACCAGAATGTTCTCTTTGTGCACCATGGGGCAGACCGCGAGCGCTTCCAGCTCCAGGTTTCTGATGGCCTGCACAAGACCACAGCCCTGCTGCAGATCCAGGCTGGTGAGGCCTACCTCCGGGTGGTGAACAACACCATGGTTGTCATGGACCATGGAAGCACAAAGACGCTCAACACCAGTCTGTTGAGTGCCGAGTCCAACATGGACATAAGAGATGCCAGTGACATTAGGTTCCAAGTGACATCGCCCCCTAGTGATGGGAAGATCATTGTGAGTGGGATTGAGGCCTCTCGGTTCACCCAGGAGGATCTGAAAAAGGGTGTGGTGTCCTACGAGCATAACGACCAGAGTCTGAGCTCCAAGGACTCGTTTGGCTTCACTGTGGAAGCAAAAGGATTTTCTGAGGAGGGCACATTCAGGATAAAGATCTTCAAGCAAGGCTATCTGTCCGAGCCTGAGGTCATCACCAATGAGGTCATCATCTCCTATGAGGGAGAGCACACCGTGATCAACCAGGATCATCTTAAGGTATGTTTACATTATATTCCCTTCTATGTTTACCAATTGTTGACTTCCACCTTTGACTACTGGTTGTTCTTGAATCTATTACAATACCGCCAACTAAGTGACTTAGTAGACTGTAATTGTGCTTATGAAGCAGTCATTAGAGTTGCAAGTACCCAAGCATGCACCCTCAACAGTATGTACACTTTAGGGATCTGGATAAAATATCTAATAACGATTTTTTTTTGGGGGGGGGGGGAGATATTGCAATTGCGATTATGAATTGCGGTTTTCGAAACACTTGGGTGAAAACTTGGTAATTCCATCAGACTTAGTTAAAACAAGTGTCAGGTAGAGAACATCACTAATAAAATGAGATCATATGAATGACTACATACTGTGCTAACTGAATACAAAACCAAATGAAACAAATATGATAGATAGTACTATTACACCTACATTTAACAAAAAAAATTACCATGATCATCAAAATATATTGTGCATTTATTAATGTATTAATTAATAACATTATGAGTTCCTATTTTATCATTATGAGTTCCTAAATAACCTAAGTTAATTATTTATTCAGGCAGCCATAGGCTGCAGATGGATTAGGAAGCTTATGATTGTGCAATTATGTATAAGTAGGCTCAATAATTATTATAATTGAAATTGTAATTCAAAGTGCCTTAAAAACATGTAACGTGTAGCCTACAGATTGCAGGGTACAGCCTGTGTCCAAAACATTGGAGTTTGGTCCAGTTATTCAACCTGACATGTTTCAACTTCTCGCTTAATTTTGTTATACAATGTAGAGATTACGAGTTGGGAGAAATATGTGCGAGATGGAATCTTGTATCTCCTGTCCAGCTTGTTTATCATCTTCTTGACTTGTTTATAATCTTCTTGAAGCGGTCTTTGCTGCCTGTGTAAATAGAAACCATGTCTTTGGCTATGTGATAGCTTCCGTGATTTCTGTGTCTGCGCGGGATGTTTTTTCGTAGGGCGTTACATTTGAAAACCCATCCGAAATCAATGCCTGTTTAACGTAGGTGGCTGGTTGTGGCCGAGTTGCTTTGCAGCTGTCGGGCGCTTTTTTTGTACCATACAATCGTTGTAAAGTAGGGTATGGTTATTCTTCAAATGATTGAATAAATGTGTTGTGTTGCGTCTTGTTGCCATAACTCTGAGGCAACTTTTGCACAACACTTGCATTTGGTTGACATCGGTTTGCCTGCCGCGCATGTAGAGAGTGAATGAACGGAGTCTAGTGCATCTCATTGGAAGAGGTACCTTAGGCTAGTTTTTGTTGTATTAACGGAGTGTCAAAGAAAGGAGAACATCGTAGCCTCTTGCGATATGGCTATTGCACATGTCAACATCGCAATTTCGATCTGAATTCGATTAATAGTGCAGCCCTAGTACACTTGTACATTGTGTTTTTTGATTCATCCTGTTCATTGGAGAATTCTTCTTCGTTCAGTGTTTAGAAGTTCACTTTTTGTTTATGTTTCTGTGGAGCAGACTCTCAGTTTGACGACATACAGTAATCACACTAACATGGTGTAGAAGTGATGTGCAATTAGGCACACATGAAAGCAGGAATAAGTATCACCGTTCAACGTCTCTGTTTTAATCTCGTTTATGTACTTAATTATAGTATATTTAGTGTGGAAAACACTCACTAAGTACACCCTAAGGATATATCTGGAATTGTGTCCTCTCGAAGATGAACACGAGTGCACTTCATCTTGAGAGCCTAATGATGAAGTTACATTTTTTCCAATGCATATTGCATTCCTGTTTTCACCTTGAATTGTGAAGTAATAAGAAACATATTGAGAACAGTGCTTGCTATTTAAAGTTCAATTTCTCAGCCGGCCTTGTTCTGTTCTTTTCTCAGTATTGACTTAAGAAGGACAAAGATGTACAGACAATGAATGCATTATTGAGAAATGTCAAACAAAGCTCAGGATGGCCTTTAAATGTGGTCCTATTGACCATGGCTTTTTTGGAGCTTACTTGAAGTGCATTCTCACTTTTAGATGGAGAACCATCTCTGACTGTTGACAAGATGTAGTGGGTGCATGACTGCTTAACATTACAACGATTAGCGGCTCCAGTCAAAACCACCCTCTGAATGGCACACATTTACAATCCATGTCTCAATTGTCTCAAGGCTTAAAAATCATTATTTAACCTGTCTCCTCCCCTTCATCTACACTGATTTGAAGTGGATTTAACAAGTGACATCAATAAGGGATCATCGCTTTCACTTAGATTCACCTGGTCAGTCTATGTCATGGAAAGAGCAGGCGTTCCTCATGTTTTGTACACTCAGTTTACTGTTCTACATTTTTACTTCAGTCTCTTAGCAATTACTGTGTAATACCAAAAGTCCTACTGTGTGCTCTCTGCAAACCAAACATTTATACTGATACAAATATGAGGTGCCATTGCCATACGTTTGATTAACATTTAGATTTAGTGAAGGCAAAAAAGTAGTGTAAAATAATATGATCTTTTAGATTTCAATACCAAGCTTTCCCAAGTGACCAAAAAAAAGTTTTTTTTTAAAGACTGAATAGCTATGAGTCATAGCAAGTGCCCCTTGCCTAATTCACATAGGAAAAATGTGTATTTGTGACTAATGTTGTGATTATAGATGGTAGAACAATCAACTATTCCAGAAAGGATTTATCCCTGAGGCAAAGCATCTTCCTTTAGCCCAGGGTTTCCCAAACTCAGTCCTCGGGACCCCAAGGGGTGCACATTTAGTTTTTTGCCCTAGGACTACACAGCTGATTCAAATAATCAACTAATCATCAAGCTTTGAAACACTGCTTTTGCCTATTTTGAAAGGTGCTTGTTTTCAGAAGCGCTTCAATCAGGCTACAAAAGTGCCAGGCCCTGAATCTTCTTAAATCTACCAAGTTTGAGGGCTTTAGATGAAAAACTATTGTGCAACGAATGTAATTCATATGCAATGAATCAAAGACAGTGGAGACTGTCTGTTTATTCCATTACCAGAATTTATAGGTTGGAAAAACCTTTAGTATACTGTTATTGTAAATATAGGCCTACTTCTGTCATACAACATAAGGGGAGACATAGTAAATCCTACGATACATTGATGTGCTCATCTTAGTAGCAATAGGTTTTTACAGTGGTGGTGGAATACATTGACTGAATGTATATGGAATGTACTGACTGAATTAACTGGTCCAACTTTACATAAGTGTCCCTAAAATATGTATTTAAATGGTAAGTTGTAAGTACTATGTAACAATGTGTAGGCTACTTACATCGTAGTCACACACTGCACCTGTCCATGTAAATACATAGCTATTACATAGGTATTACACAACCATGTAAGTATGACCATTTAATTACTCAAGAATTAAAAGTGAATCTGAACCTGGTCTCCCAACTTTCTCCTCCCAGGTGGAACAACCAGACATCCTGCCCTCTGAGATGGTGTTCACCATCAAGGAGCCTCCTCGTCTGGGCCACGTGGTCATGCTTACCAACCACTCGGACAGTACGGCTGCGCCCATCCTCGACTACATCCACTCCTTCACCCAGGAGGATGTCAACAGGGGCCGCATCCTCTATGTCTCTGCCTCCATCCAGGGCAGTGACGGCTTCGCGGCCGACGTCAGCAACGGGTTCACCACCGTGGAGGACCTCCGGATGACGGTGGACATCGTGCCTCGCCTCATCCCCATCCAGGCCCTCAACTTCAGTGTGAGGGAGGGCGGTGGGATGGCCCTTACCACAGAGCTCCTGAATATCTCTCACCCTTTCTACAGTGCGGTCAACGTAGACTTCATCGTAGAGGAGCCACCGCAGCATGGGGATATCCGCTACTTGGATGGGGACGAACAAGCGCTCACCTTCTTTACCTGGGAGGAGGTGAGTGCTTTTCATAGGTTTCGTTTTGGAGGGAGGTGGGGGGGTTGGTTGTTTGATGGATTGATTCATTACTAAATCATTAGATAATTTAAAAGTACACATATATCCATATCAACTGTTAAGAGGTGGACTCTGGTATGTGTCACCCCCTGTGATAAAGACAGTATATTTATTCAAATTCAAATGATCAAGGATTTTAAAAACATAACATTCCTATGTAGATGCCAGGAATTGAGCTACTCCCCCTTCTTTCTGAAAAGAAGGAACCATGAGAAAATACAACAACAAAAGGGATTTGTTAGTTTCATTGAAAATGGAGCTTGACTTATCCATTTTGGCTTGTTTGGAGACAAACCGAGTCCCACCAGACCACAAGCCATATAATTTATCTGCACCATAGCTTTTACTGTGTCTTAATTACAAGACGCTCAGAATAATATCCACCTTTCCTGACTTTGATCTTGCTGGTTGTTCGCGAAGACAACCAAGGCCACGCTAAGTTCACATTGCTGTTGTTTGCTTAGTAATTCTTTCCACAGCAGCTACTCACTATTCTGTGCGATGCTTCTCTGCTGTTTTATGATTCTGTCCGTAGTATTAGATCGAGAGAAACTACAGTATGTGACACTGAGTTGTCTAGTCTCCAACCAGGTGGTCTGGAGGCCTAGCTAGCACTTGGAAAGAATGAAAAGGAGACATGAGTGGTTGCTTGTGGTGGAAAAGCCTCATGCAATTTTGTATGTACTAGGGAGCCTAGTGGAGCTTGTTAGTCACTCCACTTATGGCTTGCCTGCTACGTGTATAGCTCAGCTCATATCCTCACTCATACACTACTCCTCCTGCTGAAAGGGTTGTGGAAAAACTGACGGTGACGTTCGGAAGCCCAAAGCCAAAATAAACTGGCCCGCATATTCCTATAATAAGGCATGTGCACACAGCCCTCCCGCGCTTTGCTCCCAGACAGACTTTCTCAAAGACCCCACTATGTGTTTCAATTCAACTGGGACAAGCGCATAGCCATTATTCAGCTTAATCTGATTTTGGTTTTAGGGGAGAAAATGTGGGGGGAAAACTTACACATAATCGTCTGCCATCCTGGACACGTTTTCTCTCTGGGTCAGTGTATTTTTTGAACGCACTCTCTCTGTACATCCTCAGTCTGGTTTTTTTTCCTGTTATGCAAGGATGACAAAATAAGTTTAGAGGACAAAACACAACACTTCTCCAAATGAGTACAACATTGAGAAGTAAATCTGCAGACTGACTCGGTTGAGGCGGGATTAGAACCAGAGCGTAATTGTTCGTAAATTAAAGACGGATGTGCTCGGACATGATTTTGAATTTCTTGACTCACTCATGTGGGAGCAGTGGTTCTTTTCATGCTCATCGATGCTTGAGCACCACTGGACGGGCCCACTGCTCCGCCAAACTCATATTGGCTTAATTGCTGCGAAAATACATTTTCGTGATAAACTCTCCGTCACGCAGGGGACGTTTGTGAGGTTATGTCAGAGTACTGTAGCTTACTGCATGTAGGAGATGCAGTGTAGAAAAGGAGAATGAGGGAGCTTTACTCCTGTAGCTAAATTGGTTGGCACTTCTCATTATAGACTGGTAGTCATCATAAGCAGGAATTAAAGAGGTCACAAGAATGTCAATAGCTACTTGCATGTACTGTACATGTAACATAGGAACAGAACATACAGTAAATAGTACTGTAACATTGGAACATAGTACATTACATGATGAAAGGTGTGTGAGAAAAGTCCGAATTTAAACCGTTTTCTAGAAGAGCCACTATTTACTTTTGTTGTGGTGTTTAGAGATTTGAATACAAACTGACTTGGAAGTAGAACATTCTAGACTACCAAAGGTACGATAAACAAGCTCAACCAGGTGCAGAGAGAGGAGTTTAATCTGGAATGGTGTTGCTTCTAGAAACATGGAGCCTCCATCTGATCCAAACCACTTGTTAAAAGCACATCCACGCAAGCATGCACAAACATACCACTCCATCACGCACGCATGCATGCACACACACACAACAGCCGAGCATTGACCTGTCTGATGCTGTACAAGCACTATCCTGGATTAGCAAAGCTCTCTCACATACTGTGGTAAAGCTGAATGACTGTCCCCAATAAAAAATATCAGAACACCACATTGTATCTCACCATGGAACAATGTGAAGGCCACATGTCGAACAAGAACCATTAATTGTTTATTGTCCTTGAGCAGAGGCTGATTTTCCCACTCACTTTCTCCGATCAGTAATGAAACCGAGTGTTTTTCCAGTCAGTTGGCTTCCATCTTGGATCAATTCAAATCTCCCTAGTTGTGGCGCATCAGGCCCCTCTCACCACCAAGTCATACTCCCCTGCAATGCGTCTGTATGCATTTCCTCAAATAATCAGGGCCTGTATTCACAAACAGTAGGACTGTAGGACTGTATTCTTAGAGTAGGAGTGCTGATTTAGGATCAGGTCCCCCTGTCTTATTTAGGTATTATGATTTAAAAGGCAAAACTAATCCTAGATCAGCACTCCTACTCTGAGACTGAATACGGGCCCAGGAGTGCTTGTTAGAGTATTGTCTTACTATACCTCACCTGTGTATTTGCATATCAGAACATCAAGTTCGAAGTGGCCTACACTTTAACATGTAGCCTATGTTATTGATCAGTAGAAGGAGAGAAATACACAGTAATCCATTGTCTGTCTGTCTGTCCTCTGGACTACATTCTTTCACAATCCAAAATACTGGTAGAATATTGTTGATCCATCCATCTCCAAAATATGTGCATTATATATTTTACACACATTCATATTTACTACTGCATTCACATATTGTTATTTTTGAGTGTAACACATTTACAACATGATAAGATGGTGGTCAACATCATGAATTATCACCTTAGTCCAAAATGTTTTGCCCAAAAGTTGCCAAATTGCTATTATAGCTTTGCTTGAGACAGGGATTATACAACAGCACTGTGTCCATTGTGCCAATTGTCTTTGCCTAACACTATTGTGTGACAGGAGAACTGACAAGTCTGTGTGACCCCCGCGGCTCCTTTTGTCCTCTACAGGTGAAACTTGGACACATCTACTACTTACATGACAGCACGGAAAGCAGCGAGGACAGTTTCACACTCTCTGCCACGGCCTATGAGATAGAGCGCCGCAGCCTCCCTGTTACCTTCACTGTCACAGTCTTCCCGGTCAACGATGAGCCGCCTAAATTGACACGCAACACGGGACTGGAGGTACTGAGCTGTCGGTTTACAATCGACTACTGATAAGTGTATATTTGATGAGTGCACACTCTGTTTAATTGCAATGTACTGTATTTCACCGGAACCATGACAAAAACATTTGTTTTATGCTCCAGTTTAGGGCACACATTCAGGACACTCCAAAACCGTTATACTTGTCAGAAGTTGACAGTGTTTGTTTGTTTATTTGTCTGTTTTTTGATTGGTCATCTGTGCTATCACCGAGTCCTCTCTGTGGGTGGCCTGAAAACAACTTAATAGCTAATTAACTCTATTCATAAGTGATTTACAGAGTGCCACTAGTTATGAAGGACATAATTGGTTTGTTAACATCTTACTAATTATTGTACTTGATAATGAATACCTTAATTAAGTAATACCTTAGACACATTTGGCAACACTTTATATTAGTAACCATTTTACACCTGAGGTTCATTACCAATTTCAGTCATGGATATATTGCATTACCCGTGAATTCTTGAAAGCAAACAGTAAAGCCGTGTCTGAAATCTGGCTTGCCTACTACTTACTTAAACTGCATACTGTGTACTAATCGTACTACATACTATTTAGAACTTACTGTTTAGTAAAAACAAATGCAGTATGCAACAAATATCAACATACTAGGCACATCTTACTGAGAATGAGTCATGTAATGCGCAATTGCGTTGATTCCTACCATTCATTTATTTTGGCACAGCGCGTCCCCTCAGCTGATTATCAGCTGTTGTCAGACACACGTTGGTCTTGAAAGACAATTATTTCCTCAATAGTGTGCAGTGAATTCAAAATGTCGCATACTATAAAATGTTCCTTTTTCACCTATCCAAAATGCCTACTATTTAGAACAGAAATACGGGTATTCGGAAAAGGCCTAAGTGCTTCAGGAATTCAGTATGCAGATTTTACTGTAGAGACCAAAAATGGCTGGAAAAAGCTAAAATCATCTCACACACAACTGGAAACCGAGTGTGTCATTCAGCTTTTTTTACTCTGGCCTGTGGTTCGGCGTATCCACGGTAACCCGTATTTTGGGAAAACTGAGACGATGACAAGACTTCAGGCTTTTGGCGATGCCAGGGAACCAGCCAATCGCAGCGTCTCTCGCACGGCCACAAAATGTAATATAATTATATGTCTCTGTCCGCATGCAGACCTAGTGTTAATTCATACCAGCTCCAGCTCCTCCTGTGGGTTCTCTCCTTAGCTTCCCTAGCACTGCTTCTGATTTAGGGCAGGTAATGTGAGCATAGTAACCTACAGCAGATGATCAGGCATGACACACAACATGGTCCGGTTGTGACTCTCTGATCACCATAGATCCTGCTTGGCCAGGCCCTCGCCACAGCTGGCTTCTATTAGGATATTCTCTCTCTCTCTCTGTCTATCTTTCTCTATTTCTTTCCCTCTCTCTCCTTCTCTCTCTCTCTCATATGTTCTGTATCTCTCTCTCTCTCTCTCTCTCTCTCTCTCTCTCTCTCTCTCTTCTCGCTCTCTCGCTCTCTCTCTCTCTCGCTCTCTCTCTCTCTCTCTCTTTCTCGCTCTCTCGCTCTCTCTCTCTCTCTCTCCTCTCTCTCTCTCTCTCTCTCTCTCTCTCTCTCTCTCTCTCTCTCTCTCTCTCTCCCTCTCTTTTGATCTAATCTCGCTCCCCCTCTCTCTTTCTCTCTCTCCCTTGCTCTCATTTCATCTCTCTCTCTCGTTCTCTCTCTCTCTTTGTTCGCTTTCTCTCTCCCTCTCTCCTTACTGGGATTTGGGGACGGATACAATTAAAACATTGACACATTGAATCATATTTTTGGCTTCAAAAGAAATAAGACATCCATTTTGTCAGATGAAATTTAATTTGCAACCCATCTTCCTGACGAGTAAAATCCATTGATTGTTATATAAACAATCAATTTCCAGCACAATTTAGATTTAACTTGCCAAAATCACTCAGGGCAATTTCTTGGGTGATAGTGAGGTAATGTTGCCATCTAGTGGAGAGTTAATGGAATAACTAATTCTATGATGTACACACCCCTCCCCAAAAATATTAACGTTATTGTCACATACACTGGATAGGTGCAGTAAAATGTGTTGTTTTACAGGGTCAACCATAGTAGTACAGCGCCCCTGGAGTAAATTAGTTAAGTGCCTTGCTCAAGGGCAATGGACAGATTTTTCACCTTGTACTGGCCAAACACTCTAATCGCTAGGCTAGCCACCCGACACAGTATTGCCACCAGCGAGCAGTAGGAAAGAATAAGCTTGATATAGAACAGGCTGCATTCGTCAATTTACATTGTACATAGAGTACATCCAATTGTATGAAGGCCTTACATATAATATAATTTTGGGGGTATATAAAACTCTTCAAATAGTATGCTCATACATATCTATTAAAAGTAGTTGGAAAATGCTCATAGTTGCTGGTTGAGTATATCACAATGGGTATGATAAACATTCTAAACTTAAAACCTTTGAATATAATGCTGAATATAATGCACATCTTGTTTTACATATATGCTTTTTTGAAAATAGACTCACCAAAAGTTAATAGAGATGTATCCCTTTGCTTAATCAAGATCAAGCTCTGTTCTTTGGGCTTCTGTCTTTCAGATTTTTCCCACTTTCTGATTTCTTTCCTTTATTTGCTATATTTCTTTGCTCTTTATCTGGAGACTGGAGATGGATGGAGCGAAGAAAATAACCAGCCTGAACGAATCAATATGTATAATTCCCAGCTTTCTCCCTTCTGACTCTGCCTATTTAAGACTGTCTTTCAGGACATCTGGCCCATTTCTTTCAATTAATGTTCCTTTTAGCCAGCACTAAACTCAGGGAGACTAATTCCCAATGACCCACATGCTTAATCTTCAGATAACAGGAGCTGTTGTTGGTAGAGGAATAATTAACTTTTACACCTCTCTCTCTCTCTCTCTCTCTCTCTCTCTCTCTCTCTCTCTCTCTCTCTCTCTCTCTCTCTCTCTCTCTCTCTCTCTCTCTCTCTCTCTCTCTCTCTCTCTCTCTCCTCTCTCTCTCTCTCTCTCTCTCTCTCTCCGCTCTCTCTCTCTCTCTCTCTCTCTCTCTCTCTCTCTCCTCTCCTCTCTCCTCTCTCTCTCAGGTTTTAGCTGGAGAGGAATCGGACATCACCACCAGTATGTTAAATACAGAAGATGCAGACACCCCCATCAATGAGTTGGTTTATTCCATCGAGTCAACCATCAATGGGATGGTGGCTCTAAAGGTGGAACCTGACGAAGAAATCCAGAACTTCACACAGGCACAAATTAACAATGGGGAAGTCGTCTTTATCCATGAAGGTAAGGCTGTTTGAGCTTCTACCTACAGCCTCAGCTACCTCACTGGCCACACATTTACTTTCAGGTGGATGAATAAAGCTTTCTGTTGAAACATTGGTAAATCAATTATTTCATCGGAGCTACTAGAGTGTGCAGCTTTTCCTTTTCTTTTTAAGGATGCAATTGGTATACCTTGTCTGAGACCGGAAAACCCCGTGTTAGCTCCCTAGGCTTTGTAAGCTTTATCTTTGACTCTGTTGGTCAACCTATGCCACGTACTATTCTGAACTGTTCCTTCAGGTCTGGAGTCTGGAGGCTTCAGTTTTACCGTGACAGATGGGGAGCACACCTCTCCTCTCTACCGCTTCGTCGTTATGGCTAGACAGCTCACCATCACCATGGAAACAGGGGAGGAGCTCATGATCTTTCCAGGTGAGCTGCCGAAAGCATGCTGGGTCATGAAGTGGTGAACCCAACTTGACCAGACATTTATGATTAACAAATAATGGCCATTTCAAATTATGTCTCAGCATGGTTTTGTTTTTCATTTCGTTTATTGGATAACAAATAGGCCTCAACATCAGATTAAAATAGGTCCATGGGTATTTTGTAGCCTACAATAAATACAATTCAGGATGTGTCATGTTTAGCTTTGTTTTCTGTTCTTTTCCATTCTAATCCCTTTTCCCCTCTTTAAATCACATCATGTAGACATTCCACACTTAAGCATGAAACACACCGAGAATCTCACTGCCGATAGACTGCCAATAGGTATTATCTCAGTGGGAGGCCGTTTCTTCTCTTGCTAGAACAAAAGTGGTACCTGCGAGTTACGTTTGAAACCGGAGTCCTGAGGCATGTGTCGAAATCGCTAAGCAGTTTATTTCTAAGCAGTATGCCGATGCTTGTACCGCTTTATCAGAACCACGTGATCAATGACGTTCGAAGCTTCGTTTCGTCGAACAACCACCTGATTGGTCTGGTATTGGTTTTGGTAGAAGACAAAAAGACTACACTGCACACGTGCTACAGCGTATGCGACGTCATCTATAATAATTTGGCTGTTCTATTTTGCCCAGCAGGTGCCACTAATACACACTGTGTTGATTAAAGCCTCAGGTAATGAACCTATTTTTGACACAATTGGCGGGAAATGCTCAATGCATCATGAAGTTTTATTTTCCCATCACTAGTACCTGCTGCCAACCCGGTAGCAACGAACCTGGCAATGCTCGTCAGTGGCCAACAACTTGACTTTGAGCCAATCTGAGCGCAGGAACCCCCAGATGGGGGAGCCAGCAAGAGTGACAACAAAATGGAAAAAATAGGGCATTTTCTCCGTATATCCTCAGTTAAATGTCTTGAGCCAGTCACACTTCATATGCAATGTAGGCTATGGGATGGTAGCTAGCAATGCACACAACACTAAATACTTCCTCCAAGCTAACTAACCACTGTAGCTAGTATTGACATAATTAAATTACAATGGATTAGTTTCCATGAAACAGCTGCCTGTGTTAGCTGCAATGTTAGTGCCGTGTCCTTAGCTAGCAAGCTAAGTTGTGCTAGCTAGCGAATATGCTAACATTAGCTAGCTAAACAGTTGGCTATGGGCTGGCGCTGGCAGTATGGGATCATGGAGAGTGAATTCAATTGTTTCTTGGTCATCTTGCTAGGTAGTTATCTAGCTGTGGCCATCTGGCTAGTATCAACAAGGGCTTTCTACAAAATAGCAACATTAGCGCAGCTAGCTATCTAACATGGGAATCTACACCATAAACTAAGAAACACACATGGACATGCATTGCCAAACAACCCTACTGCCACTTTCTGGTTTGGTGTATTTTAACAAGGCTGAGTGGCTGACGACTTCAAGGTCTTTGCTGTGTGAACACAAAAGAGATTGACTGCCGACACTCTGTTCAGAGGTGCTAAGTAAGTACTGTCGGCAGGCAAACGTTTGACAATCCTACCGGTGTCTGAGCTATTAGAAAGTCTGGCCTTAAAGGCCTAAAAGGTGTCAATGAGAAGAAGCTAAGAGATACAATAAAAGGGTATGTGTTTTATATCCTGCATTTGAGCTCTTATAGTGAATCTGTACCATTTTTACAATTTTTCAGGAACAAGACATGCCATCACCAGTGCCATTCTGAAGGCAGTGACCAACGAGGATGGAAATGAGATAAGCTTCTCATTGGTCAGGTCTCCTCGCCTGGGAAGACTGATCTTAGCCAACGACAGGAACCAGTTTGAAGAGATCACACGCTTCTCTCAATCAGAGGTAAGACAGAGGATCTCCAGATGACTGAGAATATTATAATGTCATTTCCATTGTGCCGTCTTCCATTATAAGAACATTCCAAAGAATGGATAAGACATTTACTTCCCTTGCCTGTGGGAAAAGTGTCCAGTCAGTGCATCTGGTTTTCAATTTATGATGAGCTTGGAAACCAATACTTAACTAATGCTGTATGAGACAAGCCAATGTCAATGCCTCTGATCATGTCACCAGGGGGCTATGGTCCATATTTTATGTATATGCTGATGGGGGGGAAAAGGAAAGATAGGGAAAAGATTACATACATGCATCCAATGTAGGATCTTCATTTGACCAGTATTGACACAGCAAAATAATCCTGCAGCAACAGGATTTGAACGTTTACTCCATAATGTTGCTTGATCGGTGGTAAGGCTATTAGCTGGCCAAAATTAGACTACTTGAAAAGTGCAATACTGTTAATATAACTGTGTTAGTGTGACACTCTGGCTCCGGGACGTTTGTATTTGAGCCAGGGTGTATTTTGTTTTGTTGGGTTTTGGTTTGGTTATGTTGGGTATTTGGGTGTATTTCTATGTTTGCATTTCTGTGGGGTTCATTTCTAGGTTTGGTCAATGACTCCCAATCGGAGGTAACGAGTGTCAGCTGTCGGCTCGTTATCTCTGATTGGGAGCCATATTTATCTGTATGTTTTCCTTTGGGTGTGGTGGGTTTTTGTTCCGTTTCGGTCAGTGTACCGTGGACTTCATTGAGTCGTCTTTTGTTTTGTAGTTCTATAACGTTTAATTAATAAAGTCATGTTTCTTGGACACGCTGCGCCTTGGTCATACTTAGACGACATAGACGACCGTGACAGTTAGTGCGGGTTTTCAGTGAATTTAAGTAAATCACAAAATTCATCTCCATCTAAAAAAAACTATCTTGGATATCAAAACAACATGTTTCACCTTTTAGCAGATGCTCTTATCCAAAGCGACTTTCAATGCCTTGCTCAAGGCACATTGACAGATTTCACCTAGTCGGCTCGGTATTTGAACCAGTGACCTTTCGGTTACTGGCCCAATGTTCTTAACCGCTAGGCTACCTTGGATATCAAAATAATTATACAAAATAGACTCTGCATACTGCAATATATGCTCCCATGTGTGGTTGATTAGCGTGTTGCAGACACGTTTTAGTGGTGTTGAAAAGTTCAGCTCAAGACACAGTCACCTCAAACGAGCACACATAGGCACATTCCAGTCTACCTTCCATCACATTCCCAGTCTAGTTACCCAGATCTATCTTCAGCACTCTACACTACCTCAGTGAGGGGAGGACAGCTCATAATAATGGCTGGAAAGGAGCTAATGGAATGACATCAAACACGTGTTTGATGTACAGTGTTTTATCCAATTCCACTGATTCCGCTCCAGCCACGAGCCTGTCCTCCCCAATTAAGGTGCCATCAACCTCCAGTGCTCAGTGGTGATCTAATCTTACAGTACAGGATGGTAAATGAAGATCATGAAGATGTCCAGCCAATAAGAAAAATCAATTACACAAATCGTCATGACACAAATCAATAAAACAGATTACAAAACAGGCTAGATCAGAAAAGAACTTCATAAAAAGTTTATTTAGAAGTTTTTGAGCTTAATTTTTCCTTCTAATCTCCCGGCTCACATAGGGTTATGTTTATCATCCTCCTCATCACGCAGACACCAACTACAGGGGTGTAAAAGTCAAGACTGACACAGTGCTTCTGGGTAATCATGTAGCTTAACGTTGACTGGGTTGAAAGTAACACACACGCACACCAGACCTGGGTTCAAATACATGTGTATCTGATATTTAAAATACACTTTTCACTATTTTCACTTTAACCTCTTTTGAAATACACAGCCCAAAACAAGTACTTTATTTGAGAATTTGAATGGTTATTTGTAAAAACCAAATATTCTGCTAAATCGTATTTCAAATACTAAAATGCACTGACTCAAATACACTCGCATGCATTTAACCCAGGTATTTGAAATAAGTATTTGAAAATACTTTCCAAGTGCTGTAATTTCTACACGGTTTACCCAATATGGATGAAAATACCCTCAAATTAAAGCTGACAGGCTGCACGTTAACCTCATAGTCATTGGATAATTTCAAATCCAAAGTGCTGGAGTACAGAGCCAAAACAACAAAAAAATTGTCACTGTCCCAATACTTTTGGATCTCATTGTATGTGAAAGTAATTGAGATATTTGACGCACACACTTACACACACATGCTCACTCACAAACACACACACACCCACACACACACAAACGCACAGCTACCTGGGTCGTGTTCATTAAGCGCCGAACTGAAGATTACATACTGAAACAAGGAGGGACTACCTGGTCTTGTCTAATGAGAAACGCTCATTTTTGTTGCTAAACATTTCAAACGTTGCCTTAATGAACAATGTCCTATCCTCTGCTCTTCCCCACAGCTGGAGTCCGGGGCCGTCTTCTACGAGCACCAGATGCCTGAGGAGCCCTTCTGGGTGGTCCAGGACTCTGTGGAGCTCCTGCTCTCCTCCCCTCCGGCCCCAGCTGTGCATCACGTCCTCCCCATCACCGTGTCCTACTACGCAGCTGGCCACAACGTCTCCTCACAGCTCTGGAAGAACAAAGGTAGGTAGAGCCACGTGGATCTGGGCAGGTGTCATGTCAAAAGTGGTGGACACCAAAGAAAATGGTGTCCAGGTCAGTCATTGTATGGGATTCAAGACGTTTCACAACATCTGAAGATGCAGATAACTGTGTACTAGCTAGCACTAGTGACTATTCCGTTGGTTCTATTCTACTGAGTAAGATAAATCAAGCTGACTTGCCATACAGTATGTATTTGACCCAGGTCTGGCTGCCTGTTATCAATCTAAGATATGCATGTGTGTAGAGGCAGCAGTTTGTAAACACAAATATTCTGTAAACATTGCTATAGAAGGTTTATTGAATCAGGCCTGTTGTTGGCATAATTACAAAGAAGCATTACAAGAAAAGGAAAAAGTTGTTTCAAGTGTCATATAAACAAAGGAAGTCTGTGGCCCTATCCGTCAATGTATATTATTTGTCTTTCTTCTTCTCAGGTCTGGACATAGTGCAAGGTCAGAGGAAGGTGATTGACAGTTCCATCCTGGACGCCACCAACCTGCTGGCCAGCCTCCCCGAGGCGGAGCGAGGTCTCCTGGATGTGGTCTTTGAGCTGCGCCGCTTCCCGGCCCATGGGAGAGTCACCCTGGGGGGCCTGGATCTGCCCCAGGGTGCCCCCTACTTCATGCAGCAGGACATTGCGCAGGGTGAGCTGGAGTACCTCCACGACGACTCTGGAGCCTCCGTGGACAGCTTCTCCTTCCGAGCCCGGCTCAACTCCCAGGGCCGCGGCACACCTCCCCCCTCCCCAGACCAGGCCGTGGTCCTGGAGGAGGTCTTCAACATCTCGATCCGGAGAAGGGACTCTAGTCCTCCAGAGCTGGTGAGCTTGGACGTTCTTCTGGAGGTTCTCCAGGGCTCCATGACGGTGATCACCCAGAAGTATCTCAACACCCGCGATGAGGACAGCACGCCCGACGAGGTGCGCTTCACCGTCTCCAAGGCGCCCACCAACGGGCGGCTGATGGACGCCACCAAGGGTGACCACATCTCCACGTTCACCCAGGAGGCGGTCAACCAGGGCCAGGTGGGGTTTGTCAGTGACGGAAGCCTGTCAGACGGCTTCATGGAGTTCACTGTGTCGGACGGTAAGCACCACACCGAGCCGCACACGCTCCACATAGGAGTCCTGGCCCGGACGCTGGTGCTGGCCAAAGCCCCGGAGATCCAGGTGCTGCAGGGGGACGACGAGACCCTAGTGACAGAGGAGATGTTGAGGGCCACCACGGGCGGCCCCAATGAGGAAGATGTCCTCTACAAGATCACCAGCGTGCCCAAGTATGCCGCCGTCATGGTGGACCGGCAGCCCACGTCGGCCTTCACCCAGACCCAGATCAGGGAGGGCCGGGTGAGCGTTCGCTTCATCAAGTCCACCTCGCCCCGGGACAGCGTGGCCTTCGTGGCCCGGAGCCGGGCGGCCAACGTCTCCTCTGTCCTCAACATCACGGTCAAGCCTCTGGCCAACATCGCACAGGAACCCCTGCTTCCACGGGGCACCACTGTGCTGCTGGACAAGAAGCTGCTGGATGCCACGCCGCTGGCCAACAAGACCCGGACGTCGCCCACCTTCAGCGTCATTCAGCAGCCACAAGGCGCCCGCTTCGTGAGGGCTGGCGGGAGAGGGCCAGAGGGAGACGGCCAGCCCGTGGACACATTCACCCAGAAAGAACTGGATGAGGGCCGTGTGGCCATGGAGATCCTGAATGGAACAGGAGGCAGCCAAGTCCAGGATGTGGCTCGCTTCTTGCTCAAGGCCCATGGGGTCCCTCCCGCTGAGTGCGTCCTCTCCTTCAAGACGGCCCCTTACAACGCCTCAGGGGTCTACTCGGCCACTCTCCTTAAGGTCCCCGCCGGGTCTGCATGGTCCAATAGCAACGACCTCCCTGGAGGGGCGGGATCCCCACGCATCACCCCAGCCAGCCCCCGCTGGAGGGGCAACATGGACTGGCCTCATGGAGGAGACGCCCCCACCACCGCCTCCACTGACAAAGACTCCCATAGGAAACCAGTTGTGTCCAGGAGGAACAACCTGTGGTCCATCCTCATCCCCATTCTGGTCCTCCTGCTCCTCCTCCTGCTGGCAGCCATCTTGGCTTTCTACCTGGTGCGTCGCAACAAGACGGGCAAACACAATGTGCAGACGGTGGCCGGCTCCAAGCCCAAAAACGGAGAGGTCAGCCAGGAGACCTTCCGGAAAACCGACCCGGCCAATAACATCCCCATGTCCCAAATGGACTCCAAAGACGCCGACCCTGAGTTGCTGCAGCACTGTCGGACAACGAACCCGGCGTTAAAAAAGAACCAGTACTGGGTATGAGAGCTGACTGAATGCTTAGACATAGGAAACAGAGAGGTAGATCCTCTATCATTTTGAATGCGGCCTTCTTCTTGAATCATTCCTTTTCAGTGTTAGACCTTTTTGCCACGATAGTATTAAGAAATGTGTATGTTTTGATATCATTGGACATTTCACTATCACATACTAACGTTGCGCCAATCCTCAGGTCAAGAAACACTGAATATTTCCATTGATAAAAATGTCACCATTAAACTAAAGAGGGTTTTGCCTAACACGTATATTTATTTTTAGGACAACTGCTGAGGACATATTGTGTTCGCAAAAAGTTTTTTGTGTGCTCCTACAATATATTCAGTATGCTATCGTAGGCCAATATTACTCATTTGACTACATAAGCAGATTGATTTGAAGTTTTGGTCATTGTAGTTTCGCTTCAACAGTAAAGGTGGACAAGTGTGTACATAATTCAACTCCATAAGGTAGATCTATGCTATATGAAGGAAAAGGTTGATTATTCTTCTATAAATGTATTATTGACCATGTATATATATTTTTTGCTTCGTCGTTAGGCCTCAATTCAATCGAACTTGGTTGCAGTAATTACAAAGCCACATACGACATTTGTCCTGTTGTAGAATCAAATCTGAGTGGTTTTGGGCAGAGCCTTCTATTTGGTTATAAGATTCACTACATCACCAAAAGTATGTGGACGCACCTTCAAATTAGAGGATTCTGCTATTTCAGCCACACCCGTTGCTGACAAGTGCATAAAACCGAGCACACAGCCATGCAATCTCCATAGACAAACATTGGCAGTAGAATGCCCCATGCTGAAGAGCTCAGTGACTTTCAACGTGGCACCGACATAGGATGCCACCTTTCCAACAAGTCAGTAAATCAAATTTCTGCCCTGCTAGAGCTGCCCCGGTCAACTGTAAGTGCTGTTATTGCGACGTGTACACATCTAGGAGCAACAACAGCTTAGCCGTGAAGTGGTAGGCCACACAAGCTCACAGAACGGGACAGCCGAGTGCTGAAGTGCATGGCGTGTAAAAATCGTCTGTCCTCGGTTGCAACTCTCACTAACAAGTTCCAAACTGCCTCTGGAAGCAACATCCACACAATAACTGTTCGTCGGGAGCTTCATGAAATGGGTTTCCATGGCCGAGCAGCTGCAACCAAGTCTAAGATCACCATGCACAATGCCAAGCATCGGCTGGAGTGGTGTAAAGCTCGCAGTCATTGGACTCTGCAGCAGTGGAAACGCGTTCTCTGGAATGATGAATCATGCTTCACCATCTGGCAGTCCGGATGAGGAGAACACTAAACTGAAAGCAGATATTAAAGAGCATTTAGATTGCCACCTGCAGTTTTTTCACACTAAGTTTAGAAATATCTTTAGAATTTAGGACTAAGAAGAATCCTTAAGTTTTGCCATTGAGTATAGGTTGTGAAATGATCCATTTGGCGCTATTGGAAATATAATTGTAAATCTCTCTGTTCACAAGTACATCGATGCATGACGAATAATGTCTGTTCAACCTTCACTGTTGTAACTTTATTTGGTGGTTCAAGAAATGGCTACCCGGGTGTTTGTCATTTCTAACAACATCCCACAGTTTGACTTATCTTCGTCCTCAGCTGGGCTGTCCCCCGTAAAGTGGCTGTGTAGACAGCCTTAAGTGTATTTCCAGAGGTTCTCTCCTAACATAACTGCACAGCCGGGCTGCATACCAGTTTTTTTGCCCTCTCCTCCCCTTCACTCTTCACTTGTTTGAAGACCACCACCCACCATCCCATTGGCTGGCATACAGTGACGACATGGCCCAGATCAAAAGCCAAATCAAGCCCTGTTTCCCTTCGGGGCGTCCACCCTGGCAATTTCCCGCCATTGCCCCAGCCTCTGGCCTCCTCCGTGGTTTGGGGATGGGGTTCTGCTAGACTGAGAGCTGTGTTTTCCTTGGCTGTATCTGGCTTTGTAGTCTGGCCCAGCCCACTGCAAAGCCTCAGACACTCACACACATGCATGCACGCACACACACACAACAATAGTTTTCCAACCCGTTATGTTTGATCCTTGATGAATGATAAACCAGGGCGTAGGTTAACTACTTTTAATAACGAGATACTGTATATCTTTATATACAAATATAATCCAAATATATGGCTCTGGTTTTGAGTATTGTTCCAATACCAGATAGACTAGCCTCACAGGTATATACTTAAATTTTTCAGATGATGACACAAGTGTATCAGGACAGTGCTCACTAAACATTGCTAAGGCAGTTATGATTGAGTTTGACCCTAAATCTTTCAACCAGCTTTTAATCATATCCTTTCCATTAGCCTTTCAATGCTGAAGAGTCACTCAAAACTGAACCGCTTGCTTGGATTCACTGGACTGACCTATGGCACTGATGACACAAAATAGTATAACATTTCGAGACCACAGACAGGACGTGACTCACGAGTGGCTGTCTTAAAAGCATCTCTATTGGCTAACAGGCAGCGGTGAGGTCATTTTAGAACTGCCAGAGTTCTATTTTCCAGGCCTGCAATTAAGGTTTAATAAAGGCTCTGATTTCTATATGTGAAGTTGAGAGAAACGTGATTTCTGTGATAGGATAGGTGTTTACCTAAGCTCCACTGGTTGGATCATGTAGAATAACACATTCTGTGAGAGGGTATTCTGTAGCTTGGTCCCAGATCTGTTTGTGATGTCTTTCCAACTGCTATGGTTGTTGTGACTTATAGGATTTGGCAAGACAGCACAAACACATCTGGGGCCAGGCTAGGTAGTCTGTGCTGAAAAGATTGTGTGTCCCATAGCATTATGCATTCCATATTTAAGTTGACCAGATGAAGGTACAGTACAATCTTGCAATTTCAGGAGATACAGTGTACCTTATGCCATAAGTAATAACATTCAAATTGGCATCAAATCCTGGTGGAGTTAATGTTTATATATAGACTAAACCTGTAAAGAAGCCTGAAAATGAGAACAATTATTTTCAAGATGGACATTGATGGACAAATATAGTTTGAGTAAGAAACTCCATCAAAAAAACATTAAAGCTGTTATTTACTGTCTGTGCACTGCAGGATGTTTTCTTTTGCTATAGTTATCTGATAGAAAATAATAGGTAGTAAGTCATTTCAACCGCAATTTACAGAAACGTTTATTATTTTTAGTTACAACATTGGTGATTTTTTTTTTTATATAAAGATCATGATTCATATTGTTACTACATTTTACTAACCAAATGTCCTCTTTAATTTAATTTAACGGTGCCTATTACCTTGTATAAACTCTGTTGCTTTTAAATTAAATTAGCTGTCGACTGTTGTGAAGTTGTCAAATGAGGAATTAATTAGTTGGGAATTAGACAATATAAAGGGTAAAGATAGAAATATAATCCCCAATTATATAAGAATATTGTTTGTTGCATTTGTATAATTTGATGAAAATAAATGGTCCTGAAGGTTAGTAACGTTACGAAATCTAACAGTATAACACATTTAGGCAACAGTTGTACATTTATTTTCCTTTGAAATGACTATATACAGTGCATTCAGAAAGTATTCAGACCCCTTGACTTTTTACACATTTTGTTACGTTACAGCCTTATTCTAAAATGGATTAGATTGATTAGGAAAAAAACTGAAATATCACATTTAGTATTCAGACAATTTACTCAGTACTTTGTTGACGCACCTTTGGCAGCGATTACAGCCTTGAGTCTTCTTGGGTATGACGCTACAAGCTTGGCACACCTCTATTTGGGGAGTTTCTCCCATTCTTCTCTGCAGATACCCTCAAACTCTGTCAAGTTGGATACCCTTCCCCAGATCTGTGCCTCGATGCAATCTTGTCTCGGAGTTCTACGGACAATTCCTTCGACCTCATGGCTTGGTTTTTGGTCTGACATGTCAACTGTGGGACCTTATATAGACCGGTGTGTGCCTTTCCAAATAATTTCCAATCAATAGCATTTACCACAGGTGGACGCCAGTCAAGTTGTAGAAATATCTCAAGGATGACAATGGAAACAGGATTCACCTGAGCTCAATTTCGAGTGTCATAGCGAAGGGTCAGAATACTTATGTAAATCAAGTATTTCTGTTTTTTATGTTTAATACATTTGCATAAATATCTAAAAATCAGTTTTCGCTTTGTCATTATGGGGTATTGTGTGTAGATTGATGAGGATTTTGTTTAATTTAATCCATTTTAGAATGAGGCTGTAACGTAACAAAATGTGGAAAAAGGGGAAGGGGTCTGAATACTTTCCGAATGCACTGTATGTACCAGTATCTTTAGATAGCTACACATTACCTTGTTACTTTTAGAGGCTGTTGCTATTTTTGTATTTTTTTTTCTTTGCAGATCCATGATATCCCAGTATAATATTGATATCAGATACACCATTCAGGAGATAGCTCAGGAAATGTCTGGATTGTGTTTCCTTTTACAGTATTATTATAGACACGGAGCCTTGTTTCGTTTCTGTTTGATTAAGTCCATGCCTTGATGGCTATTTTGTAAATGTTGTCTTTTTAAATACCATTGCTTGTGCATACCTCATAGAATAAAAATAAAAACAATTGAATACTAGTTTATTTTATTTGCAATGCTTATATGCCATATTTTCTATATCTGCAGTTTCTCCTTTTCTATCCCCCTTGAGGGTGTTTTTGCATATCACCCCCAATATGTTTGTGCTTGTATTTATTTATATTGGTCACTCCTGCCATACTTACACTTGGTTATTTGGTTTGTCAGAGATTTGCTTTGTAAATGTAACCCAACAACAACGTGTGCCTTAAATTGTTATTAAAGTCCTCAGTCAAATAAAGAGAGATGCCCATGGAATATGTCTTTCAGGTTGTTTTTGACTGTTCTATAGAAAATAAAATGATTTATACACAGAGGCCTTTGTCTAGCTCTACTATTACAGCAGTTGGTTGGTGACGAGTTGGCTCTAGCTTACAGTCAAAACTCTTCGGCTCTGGACCCCAAGGTGGAACAAGCTCCCTCACGACGCCAGGACAGTTGGAGTCACTCACCACCTTCCGGAGACATTTGAAACCCACCTCTTTAATATACCTGGGATAGGTAAGTAATTTAATTCCCCCCCCCCCCAAAACGTGGTGTTAAAGTGGTTATCCACTAATAGGTGAGCCCATGGCTATAGAACGCACCATTTGTGAGCCTCCCTGCTAAATGACTAATGTGCCTAGAAAGGCACTTTTTGCTTGACGGGGATAAGTCATAAATTGTATGTAATGAGTAGCTCTACTTACAAAGACTCATTGGTTGAGTGATATTTCATTTTATTTCACACAGAAGCTTGCATAATTTTTTTTGACACATCTGAAATAATTGAAATTGCTGTAACTGAGACTAAGATTTGCACTCCCTCAGTGAAACTATGAATTTTGGTGGGGTGTCATATGTGCTATTTGACACCAGGTGGCGTAAGGGTGAAAGTGGAATATTCAAGTAACGACGTATGTACAGGATTCGTCAGCATTTAACAAGCCCCTCTTCAGACATCATTTTTTCCTATGAACGGCCTTTACGTTCAGTGCTTATTTCTGCTTTTTCCTGCTTTTTCTGTCTTGTCAAAACAGCCCTCATGCTTTCCTGCTTGTGTTCTGGATGTGCTCTTCAATGATATGCTAATGCACCCTATGCGTTTCATAACTTCCTTGGCCA